CTAACTACAGAATAAAATATGGAAACAAGATCAGAACACAAACAGCCCTGACAAAACTGAGTGAATCCAGTTGAGAGATGTGAGGATGGCAATGGAAGCCATATGAAGTTGCAGGTGGTGTAACATTTAGACGAAAGAAAATCTAGCTAATATATTGAGAAAAACTTTACTCCATCTTACTCCTAAAGACTGAATTGCAACCAGTGAGAAGAAGTTACATAGTAAAAGCAGCTACTAGCTCAACTTAAGTAAGATCTTCCTCTTACACTTTTTGAAAGCTGAACAGGGTTTCCTATGTCTAGGGAAGGGTTACGGAGAAGTTGGATCCAATAACATCTCAGAGTAGTGAGTGGCACATTGTCTGAGCTGACTTCTAAAGTTCCCTTCAATTCTAAAATTTTATGAACCAGAGTAAGGAAATAAGTGGTACCCTTTAACTTACTAAAAAAGATGAGTAGAAAGAATTTTGGCTTTAGCCAAAAAGACAAACGTTCAGTTATAGACTCTGTCAGTTAGTAATGTGTAACACTGAGGGAAAGTTATTCACTAACTCTATGCCTCAAAGTTTCGCAATGTGTAAAAATAATTTAGAAGTCAGCTGCATAAATTAAATACACACATACCACACACACGTACACTTCCTGGCACTTAAGAGACATTTAATATGTAGTAAGTATTATTCAACTGTTCAATAAACATTGTGTTTCAAAGGATATTTTCCATGTCATTTATTAATTACTGATATACTTTTAAAATGACCTGTTCTCTTCTATGTCTCAATTGTTTTTCAGACCTAAACAATGCATGCTTGAGATTCTTTTCCACTTCCATACTTTACGCAATCGCTGTTTGTATGTAAGTAAATTTTATGAAGTTTTTCTTTAATTTGCTTTTGCTGTTTTGTTTTTCCACCTTTATTTGATATAAAAGTAGGATTTACCAGTAACATACATTGGCTATGTCACTGGCTTTGGCTAAAACATTTCAGCTAAACTGAACAATATATCCAGTTTAATCAACCACACTACTGGACAGATGTTTTTTATCTCTCATAATGGCTAACTTATCACTGAACAATCCTTCATGAAATATGTGAGTAAATAAATCAAAACCTAGGGTATTCGAATAGAAATTTTGGTTGTTAATGAAATAAAGATGGTCTGATACTTCTTTCCATCAAGAGTATCCCATTTCTTAATGAAACAGATCAACATTGAATGCTCCAGTCAATATTATCTACTCACTAAGCATTTTTTCAAATGGTATGGAACTGCTCTTTTGTCATACTCCTAGAATAATCTGCAACTGTACAGATATTTTAGTTGGCAATTAAATATGTTGTCTGTTAAATACAGAGTTGAAGAGTACACTGCTTAACGTACCAGTGTTCAAGACAGATGAGAAAGAAAAGTCTTTACATATTAATTAGTAAAGAAAAAATATTTTTCAGAAATATAATTTTGTGGAATAAAATCATTTTGACAAAAAAGCTTAAGCATATACAATATTTAGTACTAGATAAGCATTATCTAACTGCAACCAGATACAATAATGAAACTAGTTCTTTTTTTCAGCAGATAAAAAAGAGCAAGAAATTGATACTTAGAACAAATCAAACAAATCACGAAGCACAGAATTTTAAAAAGTATCATAATAGGATTAATATGCAGAAGAGTATGCTAAAGTTTACAGTAAAAAAAATCACTATTTCATGTTAAAATAGAGAACAGGCAGCTTATTTCCATACAAAATAATCTCAGAACACAATGAAATTTACCAATAAAATACATTTAAAGCATGATTGCATATAATTCCACACACTGAAATTTAGTTACAGATCTTTAAAGCTGAAATTTAAGATAAACAGTAAATCCTTTAAAAAGGTCTATTAAAATGCAATGTAAGATGAAACGATTAAAATTATAAGGCAAGATAAAAAGCACTTTATGGTAAAATCAACCCAATAAAAAACAAATTCTAAGTTGAAACTAATCACTAATAATCCGTTAATATCACAGCTCATTAATTGTATCAAAATAAACATCCTAGGTTCTTGCTACGCGGAAATTTTATTTTCAACACTGTCTATAGAGTTAATCATCATTCTGTAATAAAATACTAACGCATTTAAAACACGGCAACTATTAAGTAGTAGGGAAAACACTGCAACAGTTTGTTAAAAGCACATGTTAGGACATCTTTCCTCATTTAGCAAGTGACTTTATAAAACTAAAGGTCCATTTCAGGGACATGACAAAGGCGAAAACTCGATAAATACAACGGTGAAAATCAGGTTCACGGATAGTCACAACCTACTCAAGGAGCGCGCAGGGAAGCTTTCTATACATTTTCACAGGGTCAAAGGGCCAGGGGTACACAGGAAAGATCACTCTGCAGAATGAACCTTTCGTTTCATTTGGCTCTGCTTTACATGAGCAGTTTGGCTTGGGCAGACAAGTCAGTTAACTTTCTGTGTTTGAGTGTTTTCCTCGGTCAAGTGCACTTAGGCTCTTCTGTGTTATCTCCAAAGTTAGGAAGGACTAAAGGCAACCCTAGTTTTACTTTTTAAAAACAATGACAGAAAAATACACAGCGTGCTATCCATCAATGTACTGTTTCCAGCGCTGAATTCCTAAGTCTCTGAAGCATATCCAGTTAGGGACACACCAGTGAAGATCCAGATACTACAGTCATAATGTAACTCCCTCCTCTCACATTATTCCTTCACCTGCTCCTCCCCATCCTGCTTTATTTTCTCTTCTGGTGTATTTCAAGTAGCAACGCCAGGAAACGGCCGTATGCATTGTAAGCTTAAGGAATAAATCATTTTAAAGGATGCATTTTCAATCAGATGTATCACCTGCGTCGCCAAATTCCTCCCCAATGTCTGAATTTTCATTAAGAGAATAAAAATGAGTTAACTTCGGAAACAGATTTATACGGGGCCGGTTGTTTCGTCTGTTTTACTTGCTTAAAAAATCAAACAGCAAGATGTATCTATTCCCTCAGGAACATAAATGCATGACCCGCCCAACGAGACAACAATTCTGCTGGTTCATTTCCCTGACACAACAGCTTCGTTGTCAGGCCCGTTCTAGACCAGGCTCCAACGTCATCTAGTAATTTTATATTGATCACCTTGGCCGTGCTTGGACTCCAGCAGACAGAGTCTGTCTTCGTTCCATTCCTCAAAATAAAATAAAATAAAATAAAACGCGACGGAGCTCCACCGAACGGAGGCGATCCCGTGACTCAGAATACAATCCCCACGTCTTCCCGCCCTGTGTTAGGCAGCTGCAAATGGTATTTTTTTTTCTCGCCTGCAGAAAATGGAAGCGAACCGTACCCAGACCCTACACTGGAATCCCAGGACAATGAAGCCGACGGGAAGCCACTCTCTCCTCCCCCAGGGTTACTACGGAGCCGGGGCCCCGCGGGGTGCAGCCGCCCGGCACGGGGCACGACCCCGCGTCCCCCGCGCCCTCCCAGCGCGTCCCAAACGCCCCCCGCCGGACCTCGCCCACCGCCTCGCACCCCGAAACCGGCCGCGCCGAAGGGGATCGGCCCCGGGCGCCGCTCCCACGGGGGAGAAAGCCCGTCCCCGGGGGCCGCGCAGCCATTCCCTCCGACGCTCCGCCCGCGCCCCCCGCAAACGGCCACGGCGGAGGGGGAGGGCTGCACAAAGCCGGGCGACCGCCGAAAACGCTTCGACGCCCCGAGGACACGCCGAGGCGGCGGGAAAGCCGGGGGCCCGCGGGCCGGGAGCGCCCGGGGGCGGCGGGCGGGGCACGGGCAGGGCACGGGAGGGGCGGCCCCGTCAGGCCCCCGGGCCCGGGCGGGGAGCGGGTGGGGGCGGCGGCGCCGCGCGGAGCGTCCGGGAAGCGCCCCCTTCGCGGGCCGGGCCAGCCCCGCACCCCCGCCCCGCGGCGGGCCGCGCCCGAGTCCCCGCCGCAGACCGGACGAGCAGGATGTGGGAAGGCGGCCGCGGCGCCCACGCCGAGCAGCCGATCGCGGCACTCACCCCTCGCCGCGGAGAGGGGGACCGGACGGGGGAGGCGGGGCGCGGCGCGTCCCGGGAGTCTCTCGCACGCCGTCCTCCCCCGACCTCGTCGTCGTCGTTGCCGCGGTTGTCGTCGCTGCCGCTGCCGCCGCGGCCGAGCTCCGGGGCCCTCAGCTCCGCTGGGCGATAACGTTATTCCACACACGCCCCACACATAGCGGTAACGGCGAAGAGCGGCTGCCTAGTGCGCAGGCGCCTCGGAAATGGCGAGGAGCCGGACCCTATCCCCTCCTCCTGCCCGGTTCCAACGATCCCTTACTGCGCAGGCGCCAGACACAGACAATGAAAAGGGGTTGTACGAGGGTCTCACCCACTCGCTTTTCCAGCTTGCCCACTGCGCAGGCGTGCCCCGAAAGACCGGCTTGAACAATGAAGAGGACCTTGGCGTTAGGTGGGACTGCAACCAACGAGGACTACAGTTCCCAGCGGGCAGAGCGCCAACTCCAAGTGCAGGTCCGGTTGCTGGGCATGCTAGGAGTTGTAGTGTCGGCCGCCTTTACAATCTAGGCTGTTTGGAAGATTTAGAGTTTCTATTTCTTGAGGATTTATTCCACCATTTTGAAAAATATCGCAACTGAAGCAGGGTTCAGAGCCTACTATCTGCGTCCTTGAGTAGACTTAGGGATCAACTGCTGCATGTTAGCAAATTTCCAAGCATCAAGGCCTTCAGTGAGCCCTTTCTGACATTTGGGTGGTCCAGGCAGCTGAAGGATGGGATGGAGGCGGGACTAAACCAGGCTGGGCTGGAGGAAAAGGGCGGGGCCTGGAAATCTGTCTCTTGGCAACAGGCTCTGGCCGCCAAACCGTCCAAGCTAGCGCCTGTGGCGCGGTGGTCTCTGGGAATTGTAGTGTGGTTGGAAGGCTCTCCGAACCGTCAAACTTGCAGGCTCTGCACCTGAGGACTACAACTCCCGACGTCCACCGGGAGGGCCAGTGGGTGGGACTAGCCCCCAAGAGCTCCGTGCGGGATTCTAGGCTCCCCTGTGACAGCCGCGGCAGGAAGCGGGCGGGCGCTCCCCGGCCAAGGGCCTGTTGTTCTCGGAAGCGAGAAAGCTGGACATTTCCCCCGTAACTCCCAGCTCTGGGCGTAGAGTGTGCATGGCGAAGTCCCCGGAGAACTCTACCCTGGAGGAGATTCTGGGGCAGTATCAACGGAGTCTCCGGGGTGAGTTGCTCCAAACCTCTGTTCCTAGCCCCGAGGTGCCCGGGGCCTAGTGGGCGGGAGCAAAGCAGGTGCGTTTCCTAACACCTGCGTTCTGCCCCAGCCTAGTTCTGCCAGGCTGCAGAGGAGCACGATGGGTGTTGCTGTGATCTTTGGAGGAGGATGAAATAGTTTGAGTTTGTTTTTACAGTTAAGCAGCGTTGTTTCCTTAGATTCCCGTAGTTACCTGAACCAACTCCTTGACCTTAACTTGGGCATGTTTCTCAACCAGCGACGGCAGAAACTCTTGGATGGCTCTATGCCACTTTTGCCCAGTTCCCATACTTTGCTGTTTAATCCAATAAAAGTCAGATTCACAGTTTTTACACATTTAAAGTATGGCATAGTGGATTGAATGTGATTTGTAGGATCAGTGTGTGTGTGGGGGGAGACACCAATAATTATTTTAACCACTACAGCCCCCATTTAATTGGTCTAGGCTATTTGTATACAATTAATCATTTGCAGCTGAACATGTCTGTTTTACACATGGGGAAATCGAAAGCTCAGAGAGGTTGAATTACAGGCTAGAGCCCACACAGCTAGTTAGTTGCAGAGTCAGGTATTATCAGGCTTGTCTGCCTTCAAAGCTTATGTTTGCCTTTACTAAGCAAGCCGTAATTACTAATATCAAAACCTTATTAATTCAGATTATCTTACTACATTACCCTATGAACAAGTATCTGTACAGGTAATGTCTGTACTGTATTTATTTCCCTTTCAGCTCTGTTGGACTTAATAATGTCTGTACTTTTAGATGGCGCTGTTACCTTGGACAGCATATATAACATCTAGAAATTTCGATTCTGTTATGATGGAAGTTATGGAATTGTCCACAGCGTTACTGTGGGGAGCAAATGAAATAACGCCCATAAAGCAGTGATTTTAAGACTTCTTAAAATGTTTACCTATAGTAAGAAATGAATTTTATATGTGGCATATATGTACATATAAACTATGTTTCACTGAAGAATTTTTATTCTAAGTGTAATAAACTCTGCTTTCCATTCTGTTGCATTTTCATAACACTCTAGGTCATGGCTATTTACGACATTTAGAACACTTATGGTGTACTGCGTAATATGCCTACTATGTGTCAGTGCCTACTATGTGTTAAGTATATCAAGTGCTCAACATGCAGTAAGAAACAAGACAAAGTTCCTATCGCCATGGAGCCTCTAAATTAGTTGGGGAGAAAGACAATCAGAAAAATTATAGATTACTATGTTAGCAAATAAGGGTAGAGATCAGTGCTTAGTAGACAAGTACTCATTAAATGTTATTTATACTTGATACTGAGAGCAAAGTAAGATTTTTAAATATTAGAAAGTTTATATTCTCATCACTCTAGATTTTATAAGCTTTATTATGTATTGTACGTCTGTCAATTGTGTTACAAACTGACATTCTCAGTATTCACACTGCAGGAGTAAAAAAATTGGTCTTAATGAACACCTTCCTCAACCTACTGATGTTTCAAGAGCTGTTAGATACGAAATAGGGACTTCTAACTTTTCATTTGGAAGCAAGAAAAATACTCTGCACAATGATATGAGTAATTGTTGGCAATTTTTTGTTTTCATTGAAAGTTTTTCCTGATGTTTTTCTTCCTTTGATCTTATTTTAAGCCTTTATGTAATTGTTGGAGGCTATTTAACATTAGGCATTTTTACGCAATAAAGGGGTTCATTTTAAATTAATGTTATAATAATATGTTTAATACTAGTGGTACTGCTTTCAATAATTACAGAATGAAGAGTTTTCATTCAAGGATAATACATTTTTTAGTTTGAAATAAAATTTAAATTTAGTGTCCTAACAGTATAAGGTAGTGGAGACATTTCACGGAGAGCAAATACAAGGGATAGAGAAAGTTAAACAACTTTTCAAAAAAATGTAGTCATAATTTTAACAATGAATCAAGAAATGTAACCTGAAATGTTTATGGGTTTTGCAGGACATATTATTTATTTAGTAGCACTTTTATTTTTGTATGTTACCTTATATAACAACTTCTGGAAGGAAACAAAACAGAATTAACCCTGAACTTAAATACAATCCGAAGTTCTTCACAAATATAAGGTGCCATTTTTGAGTAGTATAATTTCCTGTATTTATTTATGTAGAGGTGGGGTCTCGCTCTGTCCTCAGGCCGGAGTGCAGTGGGGCCATCTTGGCTCACTGCAGCCTCTCCCTCCTGGGCTGAAGCGATTCTCCTGCCTCACCTTCCTGAGTAGCTGGAACTATAGGCCACGATGCCCGGCTAATTTTTGTATTTTTAGTAGAGACTGGGTTTCACCATGTTGGCCGGGCTGGTCTCAAACTCCTGACCTCAAGTAATTTGCCCGCTTCAGCCTCCCAAAGTCTAGGATTGTAGGCATGAGCCACTGTGCCCTGTCAATAATGCCCTTTAAAGCTAAATATTGTTTCTTGATAAGCAATGGTGGAGTTATGTGGAAGTTCCTTATTTTGAGTGTGCCTAATAATTTCATAATTGTATTAATATGTAGATAAATACATATGTAAGGTAAAATGCAGTTTAAAGCTCTATGTCTTATTTTGTTTTGGTTTTGTCTATCCACCATTACGTCCTCAAAATGTCTTGCCTAGTGTATGATTAATGGAAACCTAATAAACATTATTGGTTTTTCCTCACCAGTTATTCCTCTGGCTTGTAAATAACATAGTCACTGCTAATAACCCCTCATTAATATTTAGCTAGGAAGTAGCCATATAAAAATGCAAAATGCTTTTCCTGTTTCTGTGGTAGTATTTCCATTTTAAAAAGATCTTTTCCTCATTTCTTTAATTTTGGTACTATTGTGATATTATTATGGTCTATCAAGATTTTGAAGTTCTAGTGGGAAAAACAAATCAGCGTTTACTTTCTTGCCATTTTTTTCTGTCTTTTTTTTTCATTTTTGGAGATGGAGTCTTGCTCTGTCGCCAGGCTGTAGTGCAGTGGTGTGATCTCAGCTCACTGCAACCTCCTGCCTCCTGGGTCCCAGTGATTCCTCTGCCTCAGCCTCTCGAGTAGCTGGGACTGCAGGCGTGCACCACCACTCCCGGCTAGTTTTTTGTATTTTAGTAGAGACGGGGCTTCACCATGTTGGTCAGGATGGTCTTGCTCTCCTGACCTTGTGATCCACCCACCTCGGCCTCCCAAAATGCTGAGATTACAGGTGTGAGCCACTGTACCCTGCCACTTTCTTGCTTTTAAAATGAAATCCCTGCCTCTCCTTGACCCCGATGATCTTGGAGCAGCTCCGCATTCATCTTTCATCCTTCACCTTACACTTTTCAGTGTATTTGCTGTTTGACTTCTCAAAAGATACCTCTTGCTTTGGGTCACTTATGCCCCTTTACAAGAAATTGGAGATGTTTAACGATTCTTTAACACAAGAGTTCTGACAGAAAAAACAGAAGGCTTTGTTGCCCCCCTCAGATCTGTTATATTATTCCTGCATAGTAAATGGTCTGAAAGTTTCCAGTGTGGTTACAAGTATACATACCCTGGGTATCCTGGGAGCCACAGAATTCACTATAGAACTGGAAGTGATTTGGGAGGTCTCTTGGCAGTATGGTTAGGTGTTCATTTACTCTATGGCCAAGAAAGAGTGAGAAAAGCCGCAATCACAGGCAATCCAGGCTCTGTTTTACGTACTGCACACTTGAGTGTAAGGGGATATCAGAAAGGAGAGAAATTGCTAGAAATGTAGTACCTTGCCAGTTTCTGCTGTTTCTAAAATTATTTTCTTTTTTGCTCCCTCCCTTTTTGTTTCCTTTATTTGTCTCTTTTTCCCTCTTTTCTTCCAAGAAGGAAGCCAAGCAAAACACATCCAGAGCCTGATTCCCCTTTGGACACCACTCTCTGACCCTTGGGTCATTAATGTTCCTTCCGTCAACACTTGGTTGGACCAAATGAATGATAAGGGCTATGTTTTTGTCTGATGGAAATGAGGGTAAGGAGTTGAACCAGGTACATAGAAAGTGAGAGGAACGAATATAGAAAAATATATGTATAATCTCAGGGATGGGCTTTGTCTTCATGAATTGATTTAGTTCAAGAAAACCAGAGATAAGGTTGACTTTCTATGTTTTACTTGTATATGAGTAGCACATCTATCCAAATCCTGCAAAGTGGAAGGACTCACAATTGTAGAAGGGCTGTGTTAATCTTACTAGCCAATAATTTGGTCAGTGTATTGGCCAGCAGTGATATCTTCTGGATCTTTGGCTAACTTAAGAAAACGTGTGTAACTCAAATAAATGTTCCTGTTTTCTCATAAAACTTGTATTTCTTTTTTCTTCCCTTTTGCTTTTGTCATGTTTTCTGGATTTTTAAATATTCTTTGCTGTATCCACTATGTATATGAATATACACACATAAACATAAGAGTTTTTTTGCTGATAATATTCAAATTATACATATTCATTTTTTGTTTTATATACTCATGTGGCTTTTCTTTTTTCTTTTGAGAGAGGTTCTTACTCTGTCAGCTAGGCTGCAGTGCAGTGGCACGATCTTGGCTCACTGCAACCTCCGCCTCCAGAGTTCAAGTGATTCTCCTGCCTCAGCCTCCTAAGTAGCTATAATTACAGGCGCCACTACCACACCTGGCTGACTTTTTAATCTTTAGTAGAGACAGGTTTTCATCATGTTGCCAGGGTAGTCTCGAACTCCTGGCCTCAAGTGATCTGCCTTGGCCTCTCAAATTGCTGGGATTACAGGCGTCAGCCACTGCACCTGGCTTTTCTTAGTACTTTTAACTTGTGTGATTTTTTATTTTACTAGAATTTAAAAGTACAGTCTCACTTTTTCTTTCCTACTACTGATGAGATAAAATCGGCAAAATACAGGATTTAGCAACCAGAAAAAAATGAGTGTTTTTTTTCTGGTTGTTTCTGTAAACGGTCTTGTTTTATTGATCTCATTATGAGTAAATAGTCATCCCTGGAATAAC